AATTATTGTTGTATAGTGTCCTTTACCTGAATATGACTCCCTTGTTGACTGTATATAATCGCAGAGCCCATTCAAGCTACAATTTCAATGGATAATAAATTCAATCAATAAAGTCTGTTTATCTTTCCATGGGAATGCTGTAGCATTCAAGCATTCATAAAAACTTATGCGTAAATAGACAGAAACTATTCAGGTATGGTATCGTAATCCCACTGGTTATATACTGTCACAACAAGAAACACAAAACTGAGTTGGAGCGCCTGAAGATGAAGGTAAGTTTTCAAAAGTTATTTGCTCGTCTACTCAGACAAACGCTGCGTCATGGCGTGCTACACAAAGAAATTCTGCCCTCGACCTTGTCACAATAAAACCTTTTTTCCGATGAATGCGTAATGAGAACGACTTACACACCTTTTTGACAGAGGAAATCATACTGATTGTTCATGTTACGAGACTCTGAAATAAAGTGCAAGCCATCTCTTCCATTTACACACTGCTCAGATAGTTTTCCATAGATTCCATATTTAAAAAACTATGTGAGGTATTAATCCGTTGGTTGCTTCAGGTACTTGCAGAAAACCGACCGGGATCCTCAGGTGGCAAATCATCTAGAGATCGAGAAACAAGAAAATCTCATCACGTCGATATGTACTCTGACATGTTTATGATATAACCAGGTCTTGCTTTTTTGTATCGATACCGTGTTACTGTAAAAATTAAGAACGGCTCATGACCGCTTAACTCGTTTTGTTTCTCCTTAAGATGTCAACATTCCTCTGATAAGCTAAAGCATTTTTCCGACTCTTCACTCCTGTATTGACCCTATATTCGAGGCAGTTGCCCAATTCCTTTACTCTGCGTCCCACCACCGTTCTGTGTACGAACTTACTCAATCCTATCCAGAAAATAGGCCTGTGATCGCGACAGACGGATTTCTTTACGTGAATAGACATTGAAAAGACATTCTTGGTTGAATGAAAACAAAGGGATGAAAACGAAAGAGGGCCGGGAATTTTGCTATTTCGTACCGAACCTTTCTTGTCCACTGTATCAAGGTGTTAAAAAAGAAGAGTAATGTTTTGAGATGGCTCAACCATGAATTGCTATCGCAGATACGTGCGCGGATCTGCGTTCCCGTTTCTTTCATCATTTTATTGAAACTATCTGATCCAAATGGGTTGCTTAGACAAGAAATCTGTATTCCAAGTTTCCTAACTACTAGTAGATACTGGAGTTCTTCATCCGTCCGATGTTCTGCACCATAACTTATGAATCGTCTTACTTCTACTCTGTTCTCCTAGCCTATTCGTCGGCTGATTCATTTCTGTGACGTTTGGTGTACTCGTGTTTCGGAGTTTCGGTAAGCCCCTATGACCCCGTACGTGGCGAGCGGGCATCATAGCCGACTGATGCAGGGATGTGCACGGTGGCTTCTGAATATGCGTTCACAGTTCTTACTGTGTGCTTTGAATGGTTGCTGACCCTATCTTTTAGTTTTGGACTTCGGCGCAATGTAATTCAGAATGCACAAATTCTCCTATTACTTTACGTTGATTATCGGAACCACTTCGACGCATAGGCCCACTTACTCTCTTGATTTTTAACTTGCTTTCGTTCCGTGCATCTTCTTCCTTTGCTTGTTTCGTGTTCATGTTTTCTTTTATTTATTTCAATTTTTTATGATTAGATGATTAGCTGCTTTCTTCCCCTTGTTTTACCTAGTGTTCCTGTTTTTTTAGGGAACAATTGAATTATGGCTATAAACGTTTTTTCCTCCGTTCTTATCATACCTATACCTATTAGTTCTATCCTGATTCTGGTTTTATGTGAACACGTTCCCCTCTAGCGTCGGTATATGCACAAAGTTCGTTTCGCGTTATAAACAAATAAATAAATATGTACATAATTCTAGTTAGAGTGCCAGTTATCAGACCAACTAAATCCAACAGCATTTAATTCAGGAATAAAAGAGCAACATTTAACAACGTAAGAGATTCCGATTCCTTCTGACTAGATGCACATCTCTTGCGTGAAAGGTTTTGGAACCATTCCTCCAGCCTAGAAGTTCTAAGCCTAGAAAATGCCAGAAGTTTCTACTCTCTTCTAGGCACAATGAAATAAAAGCTGCTAAAAAATTATAGCGCTCAAGGAATAATGCGGTAGAAAAAAGACGCCTCGACAACGGTCTTGCCGGTTTCCAGAGCACGTTAAAGATATAGCTTGGTAGATATGGAGTGCGGAGTCCGGAGCGCCACAATCCTCCCTCTTCAAGCTCTCAGGAGATCTTTTCAGCTGCAAGAGCTTATCACTCGTGAGCTGGATGAGGTGTGAGCTTCATGTTCGCCTCAGCAGCCAAAGTTGGCAAAAGACGACCGTCAGCCGCTGATTCTGTTCTGCCTCTTCTACGCCTTCGAAACGGATCATCATCAAGAATGCCCAAACGATAGCACCTCCAATCTCGCAGACACTTACCGCTTGCTTCTGTGTGCATTATACCTGCTCAAAATCTCGTTTTGATGATGGGTTACGCTCCTGTGGCACATGGCAACTCATGGCCACGTATCGAGAAGAAAAGTCAGAAATTATGCGAAAAAGGACACTCGAGGCTACCGTTTGTAGGTCGCGCCCCAAATTATGCAATCCCTTCTTCTTGCTACTTTTTGAAAGACACGGAAATGGGCATTCAATAATTTCCTAAAATAATTTCGTTGGATTCTTGAAAAGAGACATGGACTTCCTAGCCGACCGATGGGGCTGCAGCTACTAATGATCGGTTAATTGTTTGCGGTAAAGTTGACCTGAGGTCAAATTATGAAGTGTGTTTTTGGAGTTCGAGCCAGGTCAGCAATTATTTACATTGTGACGCAATCGTTTAACCCATTCTGAAGCAAATTGTTGTATAAGCAACGTCTCAAGTGGTCAATAACAATAGTACTGCATACCGCGTTATGGATTTCATCTATATTTACTATGTTGGTTCTCTCCAAATGCACGGCAAAACAAGTTAGGATGCTCGCTGCTTTCCAGTATGTGTTTGCCTTAAAAGTTCAAATAGGTGATCAATAAATAAAGATTGAATCAAGTTATTACACTCCAATGGTTTTCGCGCC